ACCCTAGATCCAGATCCGGGAGAGCCGCCTCCCTCAGAAGATAACAGGCATCCTGCAATCACAAGGCCTTCCTTAGAATGGTAAATCTGAGTCCCCGAAGGGACCCAGGGACCCAAAGTTGGGGGTGGGGCTCCGTGGGCCTGAGCTCAGGTTCCCTGGAAAAGGAATTGAGTCTCCTTCAGGAAGCCCTCCCAGCCTGCCTCGGATGGGTCAGGCCTTGGCTCTGGGTTCTTACCCCCACCCACCTCCCGCCCCCTTCAGTCTTCCTGGCATCCTTGATGATGCCTATTGGTGGGACATTTGTCTCCCCACCACATTGTCAGCTCTTGGAGAACAAGCCCTTGACTTGTCCTGTCGCTTCTGCAGCACCCCCACCCAGCACAGAGCCAGATACTAATTTGGTGGTGTATATTTCTTAAAGATTTATTTATTTGAGAGAGAGCGCGAGTGTGCAGGGGAAGGGGAAAAGGGAAAAGGGAAAGAATCTCAAGCAGACTCCTTGCTGAGCGCTGAGCCTAATGTGGGGCTCGATCTCACAACCCTAAGATCATGACCTGAGCCCAAATCAAGAGTCAGGTGCTTAACCAACCGAGCCACCCAGGCGCTCCCGTTCGGTGGTGTTTATTGAGCACTTACTACACATGCGCGACCCTTGTGTAGGCTCTGGGGGTACAGCAGGGAACAAGACAGGCATCCTGTCCAGACCATCGGTCCTGGGCCGATGCTCTAGCACCCAGGACCTCTGCTGAGTTGCTGTTTCTTGCATGGACCCGCGTGGGATAGGAGCGGATTCCAGTTCCTCCCTGCCCCCCACCACTAAATCTCTTTCAGTTCTAAGTCCCCCTCAAGAAGTCAACCTCCTGGGGGTGCCTGGGTGGCTCAGTCGTTAAGCATCTGCCTTCAGCTGAGGTCATGATCCCAGGGTCCTGGGATCGAGCCCCGCATCGGGCTCCCTGCTCGGCCGGAAGTCTGCTTCTCCCTCTCCCACTCCCCCTGCTTGTGTTCCCTCTCTCGCTGTGTCTTTCTCTGTCAAATAAATAAATAAATCTTTAAAAAAAAGAAGAAGAAGAAGTCAACCTCCTGCCCTGTACCCAGTCTCCATCTTAACCTCTAGGTCTTCTCTTGAGCCCTTGTCAGGACTTTTTTTGCTGGCTGGCCAGGTTTCCATCCAGCTCCACCTGCCCTTCAGGTTCCCTTGCTTTTTTTTTTCCGACAGGGAGAGAGACAGCGAGAGCAGGAATACAAGCGGAGGGAGTGGGAGAGGGAGAAGCAGGCTTCCGGCCGAGCAGGGAGCCCGATGCGGGGCTCGATCCCAGGACCCTGGGATCATGACCTGAGCCAAAGGCAGACGCTTAACGACTGAGCCACCCAGGCGCCCCAGGTTCCCTTGCTTTAAGCCTAGTCATCCTCCAGCTGAGGAACCCTCAGTGCTTCCCACTTGCCTCAAAGGAGAGAACCTAACTCCTTGGCCCCACCCTACTTGGCTCTCTCCAGACCTCACGAGGCCGGATGATTTCTCCTGACAGAGTGCCCGTCCCTCCTCACCCAGCTAGAAAGGGGCAGAGCCTTTGGGGACCCTTGTCCCACACTCAGTGCCTTTGGAGGCCAGGTGGGGCAAGGGTGCTGACCCCTGAAGGAAGAGGCAACCTTTCCTTCACTCCACCCAATTGGGGACCCCCAGGAGCCCCACATCCTGATTTTTGTCTGACCTTTAATCGCCAGACCCTTCAGTGGGTTAGTAGATTGTTGAGTGCTAGTTCATGTTTGAAACAATGCTCTGTGGGCCAAAAGTAAATACAAGCAAAGCCAGATTTGGGCTGTGGCGGGCGGCTACCGGCCTATTTGACTCACTGGTACCAGGCCCTGCCAAGCATTGATGGGAGCAAATCATTCCATGGAACTCTCACAGGGCACCCTGGAGGGTGCCTTGAACATCCCCATTTTACAGATGGAGGAAGTTAGGCTCAGAAATATGGTCACCCACCTGGAGAGGGACTGAGCCAGGAGGAAGCCTGTGACAACCTGCTCAGGGGCCCCCCACTCTGCAGCATGGCCGGTCCAAAGGGAAGAAGGCCCCTTTCCCAAAATGTTAACTCTCGGGCTGTTTGGGGACATGTGCGGGGATTCCATGAGATGGTATATCTATTACGTAGTGGTCTTGACCGATGGCTTCTTTCCAAAAGTTTCTGGGACTGGCCCCGCTGGTGGAATGGCCTTCTGCCGGGGACCCTCTCATTAGGGTCTCCTATTAATGCGTCCTGGGTTCCTGTATGGGGCCCGGCAGTCTCACACGCTCCTCTCCCCCCACCTCGGCCAAAGACAGCTGGGCAACCATTGCGCCCCTTGCGACAGGGCATGTGCCCTTGACCCACCTCGAGGCTGAATGTCAAGAGCCACTTGTAGTTATACTTACCTGGCCGGCCTTTATTTAACAAACCCTGATGCCCTATTTCCTGGGGCCTCTGTGCTAAGTGCTCTACAAATAGTCTTTCATCTTTATAACAACCCCTGGGAAGTGGACCCTATGATTATCCTCATTTTATGGCTGAGGAAACCACAGTACAGAGAGGTTATGTGACTTGCCCCAAGTCACATAAGCAGCGCATGGCGGAGCCAGGATTCGAACCCAGGCAGTCTGCCCTCCCCACGCCATCCTGCCTTGCGCAACAGAGGAACATTCCTCTTCATCCTGGTTTCTATTAAAAGTGAGAAAACAAGGGGCGCCTGGGTGGCTCAGTCGGTGAAGTGTCCAACTAGGAGTTTCAGCTCAGGTCGTGGTCTCAGGGTCATGGGATCTCTGCGCTCAGCAGGGAGTCTGCTTGAGATTCTCTACCTCTCTCTCTCCCTCTGCCCTTCCCCCTGCTCGTGCATGCTCTCTCTTTCTCTCCTAAACAAATAAAATCTTTAGAAAGAAAAAGTGAGAAAACAAAAGGTAAGTGAGAGAAAAAAATACACATTCACACAAAAACATGTACGCACACGTTCAGAGCAGCTTTATTCATGATTGACAAAAAGTGGGAAGAACCCCAGTGTCTGTCCACTGATGAATGGATAAAGGGAACATGGTGCATCCAGACAGTGGAATATTATTCATCTGTAAAAAGAGAACAAAGCACTGGTGTCAGGACTGATAATGCGTACAGGGTTTCTTTGGGGAAGTATAAACGTGCTCTAAAATTGATTATAGTGATGGACACTACATGCAGCAAGTCTTGTGAATATACAAAAAGTCATTGAATTGGACACTTAGGACATCTCAATAAAGCTGTCAAAAAAAAAAAAAAGATGGGAGGGCACCTGGGTGGCTCAGTTGGTTAAGCGTCTGCCTTCAGCTCAGGTCATGATCTCAGGGTCCTGGGATCGAGTCCTGCATCAGGCTCCCTGCTCAGAGGGGAGCCTGCTTCTCCCTCTCCCTCTGCTCCGCCCGCCCTCCCCCTCCCCCGCTTGTACTTGCTCCCTCCCAAATAAATAAAATCTTAAAAAAGAAAAAAAAAAAGATGGGCTAAGAGGGCTGTACGTTTTCTAGAAAAGTGAGAGAAAGTACAATTTATGCAGAAAAAAGTGAAGGCTGCCCTCACACTGTAAATATTGAAAATTTTATTTTGTGATAGGCTTATTTATTTTTCTATTGATTTATTTTTGAAGGGGATTCCTTTTTTTTTTTTTTCTCCAAACATTTTATAATGGAAAATTTCAAACATACAGGTTGGTATATGTTGGAAGAACAGCTCAGGAGCCTGCCTCCCCCTCTCCCGCCAGACTCCACATAGGATTACATTTTGCCACATTGTCTTCATGGCTTTCTCTATAGCTTGTTTTGGTTTTGCTGACCCATTTGAGAGTATGTTGCAGACATGATGGTGTAGCCCTGTATCTTCTTTTTTTTTTTTTTTTAAAGATTTTATTTATTTATTTGACAGAGACAAAGATAGCGAGAGCAGGAACACAAGCAGCGGGAGGGGGAGAGGGAGAAGCAGGCCTCCCCCCAAGGAGGGAGCCCGATGTGGGACTCGATCCCAGGACCCTGGGATCATGACCTGAGCCGAAGGCAGACGCTTAACGACTGAGCCACCCAGGCGCCCAGCCCTGTATCTTCTGACACACGGGAATGCTACGTGCCTACAACTGAATCACCATGATTAAGAATGTTAGTGAAAGGGGCACCTGGGTGGCTCAGTCGTTAAGCGTCTGCCTTCGGCTCAGGTCATGATCTCAGGGTCCTGGGATTGAGCCCCGCGTCGGGCTCCCTGCTCTGCCGGAAGCCTGCTTCTCCCTCTCCCACTCCCCCTGCATGTGTTCCCGTTCTCACTGTGTCTCTAAAAAAAAAGAATGTTAGTGAAAATTCTAAGACGCCTAGGTGGCTCAGTCGCTTAAGCGTCTGCCTTTGGCTCAGGTCATGATGATCCCAGGGTCCTGGGATTGAGCCCCATGTTGGGCTCCCTGCTCAGCGAGGAGCCTGCTTCTCCCTCTGCCTGCCGTTCCCCCTGCTTGTGCTTGCTCTCTGGGTCTCTGTGTCAAATAAATAAATACAATCTTTTTTTTTTTTTTTAAGATTGTATTTATTTATTTGGCGGAGACACTGAGAGAGGGAACACAAGCAGGGGGAGTGGGAGAGGGAGAAGCAGGCTTCCCGTGGAGCAGGGAGCCCGACGCAGGGCTCCATCCCAGGACCCCAGGATCATGACCTGAGCCAAAGGCAGACACTTAATGACTGAGCCACCCAGGTGCCCCTAAATAAATACAATCTTAAAAAAAAAATTTAAAAGATTATTAGCGAAAATTCCACAGTAGCCCATAATCTAGTCCAGACTCCTATATCCCTAGTTTTCCTCGAAATCTGTTTTCTGGATGGCCCTTTTGGAACGGGGACCCCACAAAACCTCCTGCATGGCATTTGGGGCCCACATTTCCCAGTGGGGCCCCTCAGTGATGGCCCCACCTGGCCTGGAGGTGTCTGGGTCCTCCCCCCACCCACCGCTCTCTCTCCCCTTTCTCTCCAGGGGCCCAGGATGTGCAAGTTCGAGTGCCACCCGAGGTGCGGGGCCACCTGGGGGGCACCGTGCAGCTGCCGTGCCACCTGCTGTCTCCAGGACCTGAAGTCCGAGTCTCGCAGGTGACGTGGCTGCACGTGGACGCAGCCGGGGTCAGCAAGAGCGTGGCCGCCTTCCACCCTTCCTACGGTCCCAGCTTCCGCGGCCCAAAGCCCGGCGAAGAGCGACTGTCCTTTGTCACTGCCGGGCAGAGCCCCGGGACCAGGCAAGGCACGGAAATGGAGCTGCGGGATGCCACGCTGGCCCTCCGGGGACTGACAGTGGAGGATGAGGGCAACTATACCTGCGAGTTTGCCACCTTCCCCAGTGGCACCAGTCGGGGGGTGACCTGGCTCAGAGCCATAGGTGAGCAGTGAGGGCGGGGAGTGGGAGAGGCGTCATGGGGGAGAGCCCCCTTGTGGATCCGTTTCTCTCTGCTTCAGCTGTGATACTGACTTTCCCTGTGGTCTTCGGTCAGCTAGCAAATATCCGTTAAGCGCCTACTGCGTGTCCGACTCTGTCCTGCAAGTTGAGGACACAGCAGGCCACAAGGCGTACAGAAATATATATTGAGCACCTTCTATGTGCGAGGCGCTACTCTAGGCTCTAGGAGTAAAGCAGTGAGTAAGAGAGAGCTCCCTGCCCTACTGGGGTGTATACTTCAATAAGGGGGTACAGAGAGTAAATAACATCAGTAAGAAAAATAGGAGGGGGTCAGGTGGTTATAGGTGCTATAGAAGCTGGGAGGGGGGCAGGTTACAATTTTGGCTAGGGAGGCCTGGTGAAATCTGAACAAAGACTAGATGGAGATGAGGGAGCCCTGTAGGGCTATCTAAGGGAAGAGGATTCCGGGTAGAGGGGATGGCAAGTGCTAAGGCCCTGAGGCAGGGCGCATTTGAGGAAGAGCAAGGAAGTCAGTGTGGCCAGAGACTTGTGAATAAAGGGAAGGTAGGAGGGGGCAAGGTCAAGAAGATGATGGGGGACACGGATCACAGGCAGCCTCATGGACCACGTGAGAACTTTGGTTTTCGCCCTGAGAGAATAGGAACTATGGGAAGTTCTGAGCAAGGGACAGGTGTGATCTGGCTTTGGTTTCCACAGGCTCCTTCTGGCTGCACATTGGGGGCAAGGGTGGAAGCTCGGGGACCACAGGGCAGGAGGTAATGGCAACGAGACCAAGGTGGAGGCAGTTGGGGTAGCAAGAAGAGGTTGAACTTTGGAAATATGTTAGAGGTAATGCCAGGGAATAATCAAATTAGCAAACAAAGGGAACACCAGGATGTTGTGATCCTCCCTCAGAGGACGCCACCCGGTGGTCCCCTCTAGACAGAACAGACAGCGAGAGCCTCTCAGTCAAGTTCTGAAGTGTGAGGAGTCACCTGTGGACGCATGTCCTCAAGCCAGGAACGGATGCACACAGGGAGGGAACAGCATATGGAACAGCCAGAACATGGGAGCAAGTTCGGCATGTTCCAGGAATGGAAAGGAGGCTGGTGGCCAGGGCTTGAGTGACCCCTCAACGGGGCAGGAAAACCAACAGGGCCAGATTGGGAGGGCCTCCTAGGCAGAGAGGCAAGGTGGCTGGACTTCATTGAGGGCAGACGCAGTGGGGGTGGGGAGGAGTGGGTGGGATAAAGCCTCCTGGTGTTTTGTTTTGTTTTTTAGAAAGATCCTATGTCTTTCTAAATCTTGGGCACTTGCCTGGGATCCCACCTTCCCCCAGCAACGTCCCAGAAGCCACATCGCGCTGGACACAATCTTCCCTCTTTCAGCCCCGGAGGGCTTGAGTAGTCTACCCTGTACCATCCCTGGGAAAAGCCTTCCCTTTTTAACGGAGCCTGAAACCCCAGTTGTTTCCCATAATTCAAAGCACAGATCTCCACCACACCACCCCTTGCAAAGGTCACTCCCTGTGCCATCATGCGTTCTGTTCAAGAAATACGTATGGGGCACCTGCCTCCCACCAGCTACCTCCTGGGGCAAGAGCACAGAACAGAACAGCCAAAGCTCTGCTTTCACGGAGGAGCAGGTGACGTGACTGCCCCTAAAAGGGAGAGTCAGATGTCAGGGAAGTTCCCTTGAGGAAGTAAAGCCTGGATCTGGAGGAGGAGAAAGTGCAAGCCAAGGAGAAGGGAGACCAGAGCCCTCCAGGCACATGGTCGCCAAGACCCTGCGGTGGGTGGGAGCAGGGACTGAGAGGGGCATGCATGTGCCCAGAGCAATCAGAGGACAGATGGGTGGGCGACCAGGGAGGATGTGGGGAGGCCCATGAGAGGCTCTGGCAGGCAGGGCAGAAGGGGGGAAAAGGGAGGGAAGTAGAGGCAGGCTGTACCACATCGATGAGCTCAGGAGAAACCCAGAGAGGTCCACAAGGTAGCCGGAGCCGTGAGGCAGAAACTCGGGACAGTCTGGTTAAAATTGCAGGTTAGTCATTAGGGACGTTTTATTGTTTCCCTCCCAATATCTTTCCATGGTTTCCAGGAAGATGGGTGAAAAGGGCAAAAAATTTCCAGCTTTGGGAATCTCCGCAACCTTTATCCCACTTGTGGCACCACCATCTACTGGTGATTACAGGAAAGAAGTGGAAGGCCTTTTGAGCTGGACCTTTGAACTGCATTATTCTGCTTTGGCTTTTTTGGAAAAAAAAAAAAATCTCAGCCTCTTCCAGGCTTTTGGACACTGTCTCTGCTTTTCCTGCAGAGGAGAACAGACAGAATAATATCACGGGGCACACTTAGCATAGGGAGTGCCAGGCACTGTCCAGAGGGCTCTTTATATCAATTTAATCTGCCCAACAGCTCTACAGGGTGGGCATTTTAATTCTCCCCACTTTACAAAAGAGGACACTGAGGTACAGAGCTGGGAAATGGCTTACCCAAAGCCAGGCACCTGCTAAGCAGCAGAGGTGGGATTTGAGCCCCAGTGGTTGGGATGGTTGGGACCTCACTGCTCAGCCCCATTGCCAAGGCGTCCGTGGAAGGACCGCAGGTGAGGAGTGACGTACGCCCTCCGTTGCTCTCCCCAGCACAGCCCCAGAACCACGCCGAAACGCAGGAGGTCACGCTCAGCCTGGAACCTGTGCCCGTGGCCCGCTGTGTCTCCGAGGGGGGCCGCCCCCCCGCCCGAATCTCCTGGTTCTCGCCCCTGGACGGGGAGGCCAAAGAGAGCCAGATGGCAGGGCCCGTGCCCGGCACAGTCACCATCACCAGCCGATTCACCTTGGTACCCTTGAGCCGAGCAGATGGTGTCAAGGTCACCTGCAAGGTGGAGCACGAGAGCTTTGAGGAGCCCATCCTGCTGCCCATCATCCTCTCTGTACGCTGTGAGTGTGTCGGGATGTGAGCACATCCCCAGTATTGTCTACACTGGCTTTTCTAGGGCACTGTCTACCCTCTGCCTGAGCGTTGTCTGCATCAGCCCTCTGGGTCAAATTCGGCACTGCCTTCCTGCCTATTGTCTATACCGGCTCCCCTGGGCGACGTCTACACCCTGTACCCCCTCCTCGCTCCCCTGGGCGACGTCTATGCCCTGTACCCCCCCCCCCCCCGCCTACACCGGCTTCGCTAGGCTCTCTCCTTCCTGCCACCATCAGTGGTAAGCTGGAATGGGTTTGCAAGGGCCAATTTTATACATTTTGTCCCAATGCCATGTCCAGTGAGGTCATATCGACAGCTTGAAATCAACCACTGGGGAGTCTTTATGCCAAGAAAATGGGCAAACTACACAAACTGTCTCCATCGACACCCCCAATATTACCCCATGGACCTGGCCAGAGGGTAACTTAACCAGCTCTTCCTCGCCCTGTCCAAACACACCCCAGCCCCCAACTCAGCATTCTCCACGCCGGCTCCCCAAGCAGCGGCAGCGGTTCAACCAATTCCTTTATCTGCTCCGGGCGTGGCAGAAATAACAGGCATTATCTTTGTGGCCCCCTCAGACACTGCCCGCACTGAACAATAACTCCCTCGAAACGACCCAGGTGGCATCCCTGGACGGTGTCTGCGCTCACCTCTGCAGGCATAGCCCAAACTGATTTGTCCCAGTTTCCATGGGTCCGCCGCCTGCCAACCCACCTCATTTCTTTAGGATTCCCGTCACTCTGCCGACCTATCCCCTGTTCTGGGGCTCTCCCTGTCTCTGAGTGAGTCCCCCCATTTCCTCCAGACCCCCCTGAGGTCTCCATCTCCGGCTACGATGACAACTGGTACCTCGGCCGCAGCGAGGCCACCCTGAGCTGTGATGTTCGCAGCAAACCGGAGCCCACGGGCTATGACTGGAGCACGTGAGTCCTGGGTGGTCCCGGACTCCCAGGTCTGAGGGAGGAGGGGGCTGGGGGCCTGGACCCCTGGGTCTGAGGGAGGAGGGGCTGGGGGCCTGGACTCCTGGGTCTGAGGGAGGAGGGGCTGGGGGCCTGGACCCCCGGGTCTGAGGGAGGTGCACCAGGGACCTGAACCCAAGAGTCTCCAGAAGGAGAGAGCTAGCAGTATAGCGTCCTGAGCATTAAGTTTTGTGTCCCTGGAGCTTGGATTTTGAAGGCTGTGTCATCAGGGACCAGGCTTGTGCTCCCCTGATGTCCCCCCTCCGGTGACCCCCACACCTTCCAGGACAGCAGGCGTCTTCCCAGCTTCAGCAGTAGCCCAGGGCCCCCAGCTGATCATCCACTCAGTGGACAGACTGGTCAATACCACGTTCATCTGCACGGTCACCAACGCCGTGGGCACGGGTCGCGCTGAGCAGGTGGTCCTCGTGCGAGGTGAGCGGGTCTTGGAGGTGATCGGCTCCCCAGGTGTTCCTCCCTTTGGGGTTCGGGGGGGGCCGCGTTGGGGGGAGGCTGTGCCGCCGGCCTGGGGAGGGATTCAGACCCGCCTCGCCGATGAGAAAGGAGGTCAGCGTGGCTCTTCTCTCTTGCCCCCAGGTGGGATCTGGATTGGGATGACAGGGTAGGCCACTGGTGGAAGAATGAGGAGGATGAGGCCTCTGCTGGGGGCTTTCTAGAAACTAGAGGCGTGGAAAGAATCTCCAGGAGGAGACCCAGGGACATTGCCCCGGGCTCCAGTTGGAGAGACACATCAGACAGCTAGACAGACACAAACAAACGCATTTGAATACTGATTTCCTATAGTGAGTGCTGGTCAAGTCACATCAGGAAGTCAGTTTTTGCGTGAGTTGGGACATTTGTGTTTCTAGAGGGGGTGTTTTGGAAATGGCGGCTGATGTGTTTATGGGTCGAAGGTTCTGTGAGTCTCCCTGATATGAACTCAAACTCAGATGGGCCCCAAGACGGGAGCGGAAAAGAACAAAGCCAAACTAGGCCTGTGGCACCAGCTGATGCAGATGGGGTCGAAATCACAACTGTAGACCCACACACCTGGAGGGAGGCTGTGTGCCCCGAGACATAGACACGGGGACCCCAGGGCTGGGAACAGAGTCCCTTTCATGTCACAGTGGGCAGAACCCACATCTCCAGAAACATACTCTGTGCTTTGAGATTGCATCGGAATCAAAACAAACTCACCCAAAACAACCCGCACGCTCAGACCCACCGTCACCAAACCACGCACCCCCAAGAGAGCAGGGGCACACGCACTGAACAAAGCCAGGTGACACCCGGCCAGAGTCTCCCAAGATGCCACGTGTAGCTGAAAAAAACCGTTCTTGGAAACACCCGCCCAGCGCCACCATCCATGCAGAACACCTGTGCAAACGCAAACACACTCCACCGGGAATAGTGGCCTTGGTGGGTAGGAGAGGGGGCCCCTCAGAAATGTGACCAAAGACAAACGTACGCAAGTGTGAGGGCAGACACACCCATACACACCTGGAGACGGGCGCCATGGCCAGAGACGGACAGAAACAGATCCCCTTCCTGAGACATAATCTTACACTGCACTTACACGCACACGTACCCACACATACACACACACACAGCCCTGGAGGGAGACGCTATCACGCAGACGTGCCAACGCGGGATGGGGAGAACCCGGACAGCAACAATTCCACACGCAGATCCTGACAAAGACCCGCAAAGACGTCCTCAGAGGTGCACGCCCGCAGAAACTCTCCAGAAACCCTGCTGCTTTCAACCGATCGTCATCTGACAAGGATTTGTTGAGGGTTCCTCTCTGCTGAGCATTCCCCTTGGTGTTGGGGAGACGATGGTGAACAAGATGCAGTCCCCACCCACCCTTGAAGACACACCCAGAGAGGAGGGATGCCGGACTGGAAATCCATCCCCTGAACCTCCATCCCAGATACACACCCGGGAAACTGGCCTCCCCACGCGGAGTCGGGAGGCACCTGTTAGGGGCAGAGCCTGCAGGACACAGATGTAGCCACGCCTAAGGCTCCTCACAGGAATACACAACCACAAACACATGGATGCCCCCCTAAGACCCTTTAAAACACACAGAAATCCCAGGGCTGTCCCCCGCTGGAAACCACCCCCTCCAAGAACAGACCAGCTTCAAAGTTAAGCCCTTCATCAATATTCACCCTGTAAAACACATATTTAGCCCTGTCAGGAACTGGGGGGGGGGGGGCCAGCAGGGAGTGGAGCACACAGAATCACGCCCCCCAGAGAGACTCAGCCCTGTGGAAAGACACCCCTCCTCCGCAGGGAGCCCGATGCGGGGCTCGATCCCAGGACCCTGGGATCATGACCTTAGCAGAAGGCAGACGCCTGACCGACTGAGTCACCCAGGTGCCCCTCAGTCCCAGCTCTTGAGTCACATCCGGAGGGTCTCAGAGACTCACCGCATTCCCACACACGCCCAGACGCAGACGTGCGGTCACAGGCACGTGGTTTGGGGTTCACATTCGCGAAGTCTTAGGTACACAGGTCGTGCCACAGGCTAGACATGGCCTCAGGGAGACTTGGAGAACTTTTGCCCCACAGACCAGTGAACACACCCACCAGTTCCAAAATACCACCTCCAGAAATGCAGATAAACATTCCAGCATGCGCCGAAACAGGTTCCCAGACGTCACTGATGGGCATTCCCACCAAGAAAACTGTCATGCCTCTAACCGGTGTACCGGTGTAGACGTATTTCCAGAAAAAAATGTTTCACGAAATAGTACTTACCCTTCCTACTTCGGAGACACTTTTTCTATTCTACCTTTTTTTTTTTTTTTAACTGCTCCTTGTGAATCACTAAATGCGTTTGACAGCCCAGGGGGTCATGGCTCTATTTGAAAACGCCACTCTTAAAAGAAACAGGTGCCCTAAGGAGCTTGGATCCCAGCCCCTCTGCAGGGTGGGGGGAGGAGGGGTTTAGGTGTAAGTGGACTCCCCCCTCGTCCCCCCCCATTTCTCCCCATCAGGGCCTGCATGCAGGGGTGGGGGAAGAGGCGTGTATAAAATGGTTCTAGTTCAAACTGCTTCAATGTCTACTTGGTGTGGGGCCCAGACCCCCCCTCCCTCATCTCTCCTGCCCCGCCCCCTGGACCCTTAGTATTCCCTGGCTTCCTTCTCCACCTTTCCCAGACCCCTCCTCTCCCAGCTGCTGGCCCACTGCCAGGAGCACTGGCCTAAAGGGCGAGACAGTGGGCTTCATGAGCCCCCATTTGCCACAACTGGGGACATGGCCCAGATAGGAGGGAGGCCACATCGCCTGGACCAGGTGCTCCCAGCCACTTCGAAGGGGGAGGAGGATTATCAGGAGGACCCTCCCCCTTCTTTCCTCCTTCTCTCAAGCCCAAAGGCCTTTGGAATCTGACAGTCTTGAGCCCAAATGCAGCTCTGCCTCTTCCTGGCTGGATCCACCCAAGATTCCATGACTCTAACCTCAGAGCTTTTGTGAGAAACCACTCCAGCCCGTCCCGAGCGGGTCGCAAACTCAGATGCCTACGGGGTCCTAGCCAGTGACCAGGTGGCCAGGGGTGGAACCCCTGTTCCGACCCAAGCAGCCAGTCTTCACTCAGCTGCTGCCCATCACCAAGTGGAGATGAGAGATCGGTGTGGCCCGATCTGAGTTTCTTTTTCCCTGAAAGAAATCTTGGATTTTTTTGATGAAATCGCCTGGTTTTTGCAGTGTTAGCAAGTTTAATTTTTGAAAAGCCCTGTGCAGGTCTAAGGAAACATGTCTGGGGGCTGTCAGTTGGCAAACCCCGGCCCCTCACCGCCGCAGTCCCCCCTCCCCCAGAACAAAGTGCCTAGTGTGTGTAGCACAGAACAGACGGGTTCTCCCTTACCCTCCACCTTCTCCATCTTCTGCACAGTCACCTCCCCAATTTTCCCATCACTGCCCCTGTTGTACCCTATGCCCCCCCCACCACAGATGTGTCCTCTTGACCTCGTGTCTCCCTTTCTCTCTCTCACCCCTCCTTCTCTCTCCTCAGACACACCCCGGGCCTCGCCCCGAGACGTGGGTCCAGTGGTGTGGGGGGCCGTGGGGGGGACACTGCTGGTGCTGCTGCTTCTGGCTGGGGGGTCCTTGGCCTTCATCTTGCTGAGGGTGAGGAGGAGGAGGAAGAGCCCTGGAGGAGGAGGAGGAGGAGGAGGAGGAGGAGGAGACAGCATTGGAGGATCCTACGATCCAAAAACTCAGGTGTTTGGGAATGGGGGCCCCGTCTTCTGGACACCAACCGCCCCTGGTCCCCTGAAGCCAGATGGCAAGGATGAGGAGGACGAGGAGGAAGAGGAGGAGAAAGCAGAGGAAGGTCTCATGTTGCCTCCACCCAAGGCTCTCGAGGACGACATGGAGTCCCAGCTGGACGGCTCCCTCATTTCACGGCGGGCAATTTACGTGTGACCCCGAGACAGACAGAGACAGAAACAGAGCCAGCCATGCCAGCCAAAGGGTTCCAGACTGGTTGGACTCGTTTTTCTGGACGACACTGGAGCTCAAATGCTCCCTCCCACTTCCCTGGGATTGGGAGGGGGCTGAAATCACACACTGGACTTGTGTCTCCAGGGCTGCATGGGGACCCAGAGAGGAACCCCCACCCCAGAGAACTTGTTTTTGGCTCTGGCCTGCCCTGGCCCCGTGACACTCAGGAGTTAATAAACGCCTTGGAGGAAAACATCGGGGGTGTCTTGTAATACGTCAGACCCCCTCACTGGGGGGTGGGACAGGGACAGCTAGGTCCCAGGGGGTGGGAGCCTGTTGGGGGCTAGACTTGGGAGGCCGGGGGAGGGGAGGGAGGGCTCTGACTACTTGTATCATTCAGGGACATACTGGATGCCTGAGACCCCCAAGGCCAGTGCGACCCAGGAAGTGGGTCGCTGGCTTCTGGGCTTAGAGGCTGGGAAGGTTGGACTTGGGGTGGGGGGGGTGTCCCAGGACTGAGGCTGCCTTTCTTGGGGAGGGGATAGCCAAACTGTTGAGAGCCCAGAGCTCCCCAGAACGGGATAGGGAACCTGGACTCCTGGGCCCTTGTGGGGAGGGGGTGAAGCTCAAACTTGACCATCTGCAGTTGCTGAGAATCTTGGGAGGGAGGGAGGCCCCCTGTGTTCTCTGGGCCCTGAGGATACAGGGCAGGTGGAGGTATTAAGGAACCAGAAGAGTCCCATCTTGAACAGTGGACTTTCTCAGCCTTCTTCCTCTTGCCCTGATCCCAAGGGGGGTTTCAGTGATTCAGAGGGGAAGGGCTGCAGCTCTGTGTCTCTTCCCCCCTCCCCCACTAGAAAATCTCTCAAACCCAGGCCTGGGAATGAGGGAGGGGACTGGGAGGGGGCCGGGGCCCGTCCCAGTCACCTCTGCTGTCCTGAGCCCTCCACAGCCCCCTCTCTTAAGACACAGGTGGAGCTGCCTCTGGTCCAGCAGTGGTCGTGGGGGGCACCATGGGGGGGGGCACTCAGGATGCCTGCACTGAGCCACCAGGTGGGGCTTGGGGCGTTCATTTCCCACCAGAATTGACTTTCGCTTATTACGCCAGGGACACAGAGGTGACTCAGGCAGACAGAGCCCTGCCCCCCCCACCTCCCTGCCAGGGCATGTCACGATGGCTATGTGTGGACTGAGTGAGCAACAATTACCGTTGTCCCCCCAACTCTGAAGCCCTCCCAAGGCCACCAGGCTCTGGAGCAGGAAGAGTAGAACCCAGACATTCTTCCTCTGGGCAACTGTATCTCCTCCTCTGAGCAATAGGGCTGACAGAGAGTGGAGCCTGTGGGTGAGGCTTGTGCACAAGTGCGGTTTCCTCGTCGCCCCCCTCGGGTCCCCCATGCCTCCTCCCCAAAATGGGAGGGAAGCGCCAGCAGGCAGGGGCGGGGATTTGGACAGTCTGGCGTGGGGTAGGTCCTTGAGCACTGGCGCTGGGCCCCTCCTTGCACATCTGGCCATCACCAACCGTGTGCCAGGCATGCCCCTTAGAGCTCCCAGTGTATTGTGGAAATTGGCAAGTAAACAGGTGACATCAGGGAGGGAGAAGGGCTCCAACCGAAAGGCCCAGGGGGCCACAGCTTCTCTCAATTCCTTTTCCTGTTAGGTTGAAGGAGCCACACCCTCTGTCCAGGATGACTCCATTCCCTGTGATGAATGAAGGGTTCTGATCCCGATTCCATAACACCCACTTTTCTGCGCCTCTTAGCTCCATCCCGTCCCCTCCCTTCCCTCCTCTCCCCCTCTTCTCTGGCCCCACGGTTTCCTTGCTGGTCCTTCAAAGTAACAGGAGGCTTCCTCCTCAGGGCTTTTGCACTGGCTGTTTCCTCTGCTTGGAATGTTCTCATTTCCTCGTGGCTCACCCCCTTCCGCTCCTTCAGATCTTTGCTCAGATGTCACCCCATAGTAAGTCTCTCTCTGACGACCCTTGGGGTCCCCCTTCTGTCACTTCCTTACCACCTTCCCCACTCTGTGTTTTTACCTTCGATCGCTCTCTGCACAGCTAGAACAGATGTTCCATGGGAGCAGGGACCTCTGTATGTTTTGTTCGCCACTGGCAACCAACAAAGCCTCAGTAAGGACTAGGGAGAGGAGGTAGGCAGATGGGTGATGACTTAGGGAATAAGGAGCTGTGGCTTCCTCCCGGAGACCCCCTTACACTGTCCCTCTTCTTGCAGAGACCCCCAACACAGCAGGCGCGGGGGCCACGGGTGGCATCATTGGGGGCATCATTGCTGCCATCATTGCCACCGCTGTGGTCGCCACAGGCATCCTCATCTGCCGGCAGCAGCGGAAAGAGCAGAGGCTGCAGGGGGCAGAGGAGGAGGACGAGTGAGTGATGGGCCCCAAGAAGTGGGTGGAGGAGGGGTCCCGGCATCGGGGAGCCCGAGGGGTGGGGGTAGGGGGACTGACCCCAAATAACTGACTTAAGTGGGGTGTAGAGGAGAGTTTATTTCTGTCTCCCGTAAAGCGTGGGTATGATAGCTATGCTCTGTGAAGCCATCAGAGCCCAGGCTCCTGCTACCTTGTTGCTCAACTTTCCCTTCACTCGAATTGCAAGATGGCTCCCCATACTTCTAGCACTGTCTGCATACTTGACAACCAGATACAGCTGTCCTGGCCTCAAAGCCCCCATTCCTGCGGGGGCTGGGGGGGAACAAATAGAGGGCAGTGAGCTGCCCTATAGGGGAACCCGTCACTTGGCCTCACTTCCCATTGGCCAGAACCTGGTCACATGGTGTACCAGCTTCAGGGGAAGCTGGGAAATGTAGTCCTTACTCGGGGTGGCCATGTGCCCCGCTAAAATCTCTTACAGGAGCCTAGATATTGTGGGGGGAACTAGCCACACTTCTCTGGGTGGGGCACTTAATGTGCCAGGCTTGGTGAAATGCATTTTACATGTGTGACCTTGATGAAGTTTCATATCCGTTCACTGATGCAACGAGTATTCAGAAAGTACCTACTCAGGGCCAAGCCCTAGAGGTTAGGAATGCAATGATGAGACAAACATTTTTAAAGTGTTCACACACATAAATGCATCATGGAAACAGAAATTCTCACAGGGAGCTAATGATACCCATTTTATCAAAGAGGAAACAGGTCCAGAGAGCTGAAATCACTTGCTGAAACTCATCCATCAAGTGAGCGTATGGGGGGCAAAATGACTCTGAAGTAACACTACCCAGTGTGTATGTGTGTGTTTGTGTTTCTGTGTGTGTGTGTGTGTGTGTGTGTGTGGCAGGGGTAGGGACACTTGTTAAGAATGCAGATTCCTGAGCTTACAGCAAACCTACTGAATCAGAACTTCTACAAGAAGGGCTTGGAATCTGTACTTATAACAAGCTCCCTGAGTCATTCTGATGCACAAGGAAGTTTCTGACCCACTATCTTTAACATCTGGTCAATTTAAACCAACAACTTGCTATCAACCTCCTATGCCCAGCCCAGTGCTGAGAGCTAGTGGTGCCTGAGATGGCCCTGGCCCTGCCCTCCTGGGAGACAGACCCATCCCTAGAGAGTGGCAGAGATGGGCTAGAAAAGCTGAGGGAGCTGTGAGAGGCCAGAGGGGCACTTGATGTAGCCTGGTGGGTCAGGGAGGGCTTCCTGGGGGAGGCGACATCTGAGCTGGGGATTGGAGACATAGTAGACACTCATCATGATGTATGCAGGATGCGCTGGTCTGTGGGTATGTATAACAAAGGAATTTTAACATAGTTTGAAGGCCAGGAAAGCCTTTCATTTATTCATCCTTTTTTTTTTTTTTACAAAGATTTATTTATTTATTTGAGAGAGAGAGAGAATGAGCAGGAGGGGCAGAGGGAGAGGGAGAATCCCAAGCAGACTCCACACTAAGCACAGACCCCCACACAGGGCTTGATCCCACGACCCCGAGATCACGACTTGAGCTGAAACCAAGAGTCAGATGCTTAACCGACTGCACCACCCAAGTGCCCCTTGTTCATTTTTTAAACAAATACTTGCTGACTTCCTCATAGTGAGTTCTGAGAACACTGCTGAGGACACAGATCTCATTTTTCCCTCACATTGCTCATAGTGGGATAGTTATTGAATGATATCAGAAATAATGTTTCAAATACAAACTCAGTAAGTGCCCCGAGAAGGAAGAACAGCTAGATATAACCATATATCAGGAGTCCCTAATCCTCCTGGAGAATCAGGGAGGCTTCCTGGAAGAAGAGAAATTCATGGGATGAATAGGAGTTAGCTGGGCAAGGGGGCCTGGCGGTGGGGGCGCGGCACAGCAGAAAGGGAGATGGGGCAGAGGGAAGAGCATCTGGATAGGAGGGCTTCTCGGGTCTGAGACTCCACTTGACCTACCTCCTACCCAACAGTCTGGAGGGGCCTCCCTCATACAAGCCACCAACCCCCAAGGCGAAGCTGGAGGAGCCTGAGATGGTAAGCACTTCCCCTGGAGCTCAGACTGCCCCCACCTCCACACCTACCTTTCCCCACTGAGGCCGGGGCTAGGAGGGGGGACTCCTGGGGAGAGGCCAGCTGTGAGAGGGTCCTGACCTGCCCCTCTTCCTTCCCTTCAGCCCTCCCAGCTCTTCACTCTTGGAGCCTCAGAGCACAGCCCACTCAAGACCCCCTACTTTGATGCTGGCGTCTCGTGTGCTGAGCAGGTGGGAACGTGGGGGAGGGCAGGGGTGGGTTTAGGGTTTGGGTTTAAGGGCCAGGGATCAGTTCCTGACATAAAAGGTCAAACACTAAAGGTCACAACTCAAGGCCAGTGCTGTATCTCTAGTCCGAGCTCAGAGCACCAAGATGTGTTTAGGATTCAGTGGGGGAGATTGTGGTTGAAAAAGTCCAAAAGGACATGAGGTTAAAGTCACTTAGTGAAGATTGGTTGAACATCTACATCTGCCAGATACCGTGCCCAGAGATGAGACAAAACTGATTGTTATTCCCCTCCGTGATCTACTGAATGTCAGGGGTCAGATATTAAAGTTGAGACAAATCAAGGTTCAAGGAGCTCTTTAGGGCTTAGGGCTTGAGGTTAAGTAGTTGAGGTCAAGATTGAAGTCAAAGGTTCATGGAGAAAGGCTTGTGGTCAGGGATCAAAAGACAAAGGAGAGGCCCAGGACTGACAGGCTCTGGGCTTTGAGCTGGAGACAAGCCATATCATTGCTCTAGTGCAATTTCCACCCAGGCCAACAAGGGATGAGGTCGGGTCTGGTTTGGCATAAGGAGATGGTCAGGATTTGGGGGTGAAGGGGCAGATTGGGATTCTGTGTAATGCACAGGAGATGACCTTGGGCTCTTTTTCCCTCCCTGCCCCCAGGATATGCCTCGATATCATGAGCTGCCCACCTTGGAAGAGCGCTCGGGGCCCCTGCTCCTGGGGGCCACGGGCCTGGGGTCCCCCATCCTGGTGCCTCCAGGGCCACCTGTTGTGGAGGGGGTTTCCCTGGACTTAGAGGATGAGGAAGAGGAGGAGGAAGACTATCTAGATAAGATCAACCCCATCTATGATGCCCTGTCCTACTCCAGCCCCTCTGATTCCTACCAGAGCAAAGGCTTTGTCATGTCCCGAGCCATGTATGTGTGAGCTGCCATGGCCCTGGCCTCTCACCTCTCACTTTTTGATCCCTCCACTCTCTGCCCGGGATCTAGTGCCCCCTGACCTCTGGCCAGGCCACGGTCAGTTAACACACAAAAATGCATCTCGTCTGTGACTTCTGCCTTGGTGGCTCCACTATGATCTCTAATCCATGATCTCTGACCCAGAGAAACCGGCCATGACAACAGAAACCTGGTAACCTTATCTCACATGGGGGCGGGGGAGTATGTTCCTGCACAACCTCTGACCCAAGGACTCCTAAGACTGTGACCTTAGATCATACCTCTCATGTCCCATCATCTCCGGACTCCCCCAAAATCCCAGAGAAGATCCCAGACCTCCGAGTTGTCCTCAGGCAGTAAAATCCCAATAGTTCTGCTGGGGTAGGTGTTGGGGGTACCCTGCTGCTCAGACCTGAGCCCTCCAGGCAGCAGAGCCCCACTCACCCCTCCCCACCCTGTCTGTTCCCCAAAGACAAGAGGAAAGGGATTCCCCAGCCCAAGGCTTCCCCATCTCCTCCCTCCTGCAGGCAGGAGTCTCAGGGTCCAGACCCTTCCCTGAGCCCCCACTACCCCAATTCCTGTCTACAGGGAATTAAGCCCCAGCCCAGGACTAGATGGGGTAAGCCTCATGCAGTGTGCCTTTCCGGCCCCAGCCTTGGAAGAATTTGCTGTTACTTTGAAGCTACTGAGTCCTTTTACTCCTGCCCAGTGGGATGGGACCCAAACATCTCCCAGCGGGGGGGGGGGGGGGGGGGGGGGGATGTTGGAGGCTGGGGATATAATACTGTTTTTGTAATACAGCATTTCCTACAAAATCTGAGTTTATACTTTGACCGGACGTCAACTTGTGTTTTCTGTGGGATGCGAAGGAGATGGGGGTGGGACATGATGGGAAACAAATAGGGCGCGTAGAGCTGAAGGAAATCAGTAGGCTAGAAGTCAAGATGGGTTACAGGCAAAAAAAAAGGGGGGGGCAAAGATATAAAAAAATTAAGTTAGGGGATAATGAGCAAAATGCCTAAACAAAAAACATAATGATGGGTAATGGAAGGAAAGGGGGAGGAGCCCAGCGCATGGTGGTTAATGACAAGGAACGGCAGTCTAATGGGTGACGGATGGAAATAAACGGAACAAAGATAGAAATGGCAGTAATTCAGTTTGAGGGGCTCAGGTTTAAAGGATAAATGGCAAGAATAGGCCAAAGGCAAAATTACGAATAACGTAATAGCTCAGGGCATTGTGGGTAATAGAACCGAATGAATGAGCCAAAGGCAGAGGGATAATAGAGAAACAGGGCCGGCAGGCATGATGGGTAATGGACCCAAAACATGATGGTTAATTAAAGAAGCGTCAGAAGGATGACGGAAGTGAACAGGCAGAAATGGGCTAAGGGTAGTTCAGGAAAGGAAGATGAAATGAATGGGGCAGAGGCATGCTGGGTAATGGGAGCAGAATGAATGGGCCATAGAAGCCGCAGTGACGCAAGTGGGGGCGGGGAACAGAAGGCATGATGGGTAACAAAAGGAGTGGGTCTACGGCAACTGTCGCGTTAGAATAGCTAAGGAGCATTGTGGGTAAGAAGAAGCCTGACAGGGTTCGGATAACCGATTAGAATTCTCCCGAGGTACTGTGGGAAGGGCCAGCACTTCCGGTTTTCGGTCGCCGGCTCTGGACTAGGGGACTGCCCCTCTGCCGCGGTGCCTGGTGGGACGAGAGGCCTGACCTTGCTGCCTAGCAGCCTCTGCTGCGCAACCCACCTTTACCCGTGTCCCTCGACCCTGGCACATTAGCCAATGAACGTACCAGACCGATTACGTCACCAGGATCGGTCTCCTGTACCCGCCAGAGCCAATCAGAATGCTTCAAGGCCAAGGCTGACCAATTACAGTGGCAATTTCGCCGCGGGGCGGAGTCGAAAGAGGGGGCGCCCTCTGGAGAGGGGCGGAGGCGACGAGTCAGTGGGCGTTTCAAAGTGCGCAGCGCAGACCAATGGCGGGCGAACAACGGAACCCGCGGCGTTGAGGGCCAATAGATGCGGTCTCCGCGGGCCAATGGAAAAGGCGGGGGGGTGTGTCTCGACCTTCCTGTGAGTGGGAACCAATAGAAAAGGACGGCCCAAAGAGGTGGGTGGGACTCCCAGCCATGACTCCAATTGCAAGGCCAGGCCTTTAAGCTAGCGGGCGGATCCCAGGGCACGCCGAACCAATGGGCTCGGCGGGGCGGGGCGGGGCGACGGTGGTGGCGGCGGCGGCAGCGGGTTCGGTTGCGCGTGGCGCACGGGGTGGGAGCGGAGCCCAGGCCGGGTGCGGGCGCTGCCGCCAGTGAGAACCGGGGCCCGGAGCAGAGCGGGGTTTGGCTGGGACTGGAGCCGGAGCGCGCGGGCCCTGACCTTCGCCCTCTGACCTTTCCCCTTGCAGGCGACCATGGGGAACGTCTTGGCCGCTAGCTCGCCGCCCGCAGGGCCGCCGCCACCTCCCGCGCCCGCCCTCGTGGGACTGCCGCCGCCACCGCCCTCTCCTCCTGGCTTCACGCTGCCGCCGCTCGGGGGCGGTTTGGGCGCTGGGGCTGGCGCGGGTCGAGGTTCGGAACGGACCCCCGGTGCTGCGGCAGGCAGCGCCGCAGGGACCGCGGACGATGGGGCCTGCGGCTGCCTGCCCAACCCCGGCACGTTCGAGGAGTGCCACCGGAAATGCAAGGGTGAGGGGCGACGGACCCGGCAGGGGTGTGAGGGCCCGCATCTCGGGGGGAGGGGGAGCACTCAGAGGACCTTGGGAATTGGCACGGACCATTGGAAACATTTAACAGAGCGTTAGGAGTTGACGTTGGGATCGAATGGTGGAACGTTGGACTTGGGGCATAGAACGATGGGATCACATGGTGGAACCTCAGGATGGAATGGCAGAGCGGTAGAGGAAAGCCTTAGGGACCTCGAGGAGCCCCGGGGATCAGCCAAGCCAGCCTTCTTATGTGGTCGGGAAGGAAACTGAGGCCCAAGGTCACAGTGTCAGCCAGGGTCCAGTGGGGGTGGAACCCAAGGCTTCGGGATCTTGGCTTGGAACAGTTAAGATAGTAAGAGTGGTGGTGACTTACTGAGCACTGTTCTGGCGTTCACTATATGTTAATTCACTAAATCCTTGCAATGTCTCCACGTGGTGAGCTTACAGATGACATCTTACAGGTGACAAGTTTGACATAGTTAAAGTGACTTGCCTTGGGTCACATGGGTAGTAAGCGGTGGCACTGGGATTTGGGTGCAGGCAAAGAAGGGCCCTGGTCCTGGCCCCGTGTATTAGGTGAGACGGTCTCTATTGGTTGAGGTGCTTTGTGTGATGTTTTGCTTGTGGGTCCTTGGAGGAGGGAGAGCTGGCATCGTAGGGAAGGAAGGGATGAGAGTCCTCGTGTTGGCGTAGGGGTGTATGTGTGTGGAGAGTGACAGCGCTTCTCTTCTTCAGAGCTATTTCCCATTCAGATGGAAGGTGTCAAGCTCACAGTCAACAAAGGGTTGAGTAACCATTTCCAGGTGAGCCTTCCTGGTGCCCTTACTCTCCAGAGGTCATCCCAACCATCTCCCTGCGCCTACGCATACAACCCCCTCACTCCCCCTAAAGGGCTAGGCTCCTGGGCACCTGAAAAGACTCAGAGACACAGTGCCAGTCTGACTGCTCATTGGGTCCAGTGGAAGTGTTTAGGGACCCAGAACCCGGGGATGCCCCTCCACCTTTCACATCCAGGCAGGAGTGAAGTACCGGGTATGTAGCCTCGTCTCCAGCTTATCTTTTCTCTGAGTGTCTAATCTAGTCAGGCTCAACCTCCCAGTCTTCATCCCCTGCCCCACCCAGAGCTGCCTGTCTTTTTCTCCACGGTGGGGAAGCCAGGTTGGCAAGTACCCGCATCCCAGGCTTTTAGGGAGCTTTGCTGGGGGCGGGTTCAGCTGGGTCTGTTGCGGGTGGCCCACAGACTCATCCCCACAGCCTTCCCTCCTCTCCCAGGTAAACCACACAGTAGCCCTCAGCACAATTGGGGAGTCCAACTACCACTTCGGGGTCACGTACGTGGGAACAAAGCAGCTGAGTCCCACAGAGGTGAGGTTCCTTTTGTCTTTTGTTCATTGTATCTTTCTTCTAACCAATATGTAGCCAAGCACCAGGCAGAGAAGGCTCTGTTAATATTAGGAGGGCTGGGCTGCTGAGGGTGCTGGGAGGTGGGGACTGTCTCTCCGAGGTGCTTTGGAACATGGTCACTCCTTCATCCTGAAGCCCTGCTCCCTGCCCAGCCCTGTGCTGGGTCAGGGCCGAGGTCACCAGACAGTGATGACCCAGAGAAAGCAGGGCTTTTGAATGCCACACAGGGCATTTGGACTTTCCCTAGGGGGCAGTGAAGAGCCACAGAAAGATTTGGACGGGGAAAGACATGGTCAGATTGACACTCTAGGACCCTCCCTTGGGCTGCCATGCAGAGGTTGCGTTAAGGGAATGGGGGTGAAACTGGAGGCCTGGAAGGAGGCTGGGCAGAACACAGGTGGAGCTGAGGGACTGAATTACGTCTCTGCTTATACCAACTATTGCCATTCAGGACATTCCTTTATTCCACAAACCATTGTACTGCATTCTGTGCCCAGCCCTGTGCTGGGCAGTGTTGGGGACAGAGCAGTGACTGAAACGGCCCTGGGGTTCACAGTCTAGTAGAGAAAGGGAACGGACCTGTCCCCAGAGAGTGACTGTCCAGGGTAGGCAGGACTGAAATGCGGGGAGGCGGGGGGGCGGGGGGAGGAGGAGCCCAGAGGGGCACCTGACTCAGCCTAGGTGGTCAGGGAGGGCTTCCTGGAGGAGGGGACCTCAGTCCGAGGTTTTCTGATGCTAGGCTTCTCACCTAGGCTCACCACGCTTGTATTTCTATAATGCTAAACCTCTGACCTCTGACCTTGCCCTCTGCGCCACAGGCATTCCCCGTGCTGGTGGGTGACATGGACAACAGTGGCAGCCTCAATGCTCAGGTCATTCACCAGCTGGGCCCTGGCCTCCGGTCCAAGATGGCCATCCAGGTGAGTAGGAGCCACGTCAGCTGCTCCCCGAGCCACCCTGAGCACCCGGCTGCCCTCTACACTGTCCCTCCCCCCTACAGACCCAGCAGTCCAAGTTCGTGAACTGGCAGGTGGACGGGGAGTACCGGGGTTCTGACTTCACAGCAGCCGTCACCCTGGGGAACCCAGACGTCCTGGTGGGTTCAGGTAAGAGCCACGGGCCTGGAGGGCAGTTCAATCTCAGTTGCAGCTTTCCCGGCAATCCATTCCCTTCTCCGGACCTCCTTTTCTACCATCTAGAAATGGTCGGGGGCAGGAGTGACTTTGGAAACACCCACAACATAGCATGCGGTGTAGGCAAGTAGGTTCCAACCCCCTGCTCTGTCCCTGGCTTCACTGCAGCTGTGGGCAAGTTCCCTCACCCCCGTGGGCCTCAGTTTCCTCGTCTGTAACATTGGGCTCCCTCACGGGGCTGCTGAAGAGGTCATTTACGTTGTTTTGTGTGAGAAACTTCAAGAGGTGTGGGGCCCGTAACAGGTCCCAGGGGAATGTGGGCTGCTTCTGTTACTTGTGGGGCTCTGGGGTGGTTTCGGTGCAGAGATCCCAGGGTGGGTGGGTCCACGTGCAGTTCGGGCAGGTAGTCTGAGTCTGAGACAGAAGCTGACCAGGAAAGTTCCTGTTTGGGTTGGTGTAGACAGGGGCCGCCTGACTTGTGCCTGTACGTCTAGACTCTTCTTGGTTCCCCCTTTTTTTTTTTTTTTTGCTCTGTCTCTGGGTGTTTCTTTGATCACTTTACATTCAGCGTGAGTGTTGCTTGGGCGTGTACCGTGTACATTCCAGTCACCAAGGATAAGGTGCGGCAAACAAGGAGAATTCACTTTGTCCTCTGGGAGCTTCCATTCCAGAGGACCTGGACACAAGCACTTAAAAAAAAAAAAGTCAGGTGAGGGGGGGCTGGGAAAGATTAGGTCCTTGGGAGGGGTGTGGGGTGGTGTCCTCAGAGAAAGCCTCCTTAGATAGGTAATATTTGATTAAAGATCAAGGATTTGAGGGAAGGTGCCAAGCGGATTTGTGGGGAAAGAGCTCTTCGGCCGAGGCAACAGCAAGCGCAAAGGCCCTGAGGCAGGACACTTTACTGGAACGCCAGGAGGGGGTGGTTGTAATGGGTAGGGAAAGAGGGAGAGTTGGAAGTCACAGGGGTAAAGGGCCCAAATCAGCTGAGGCTTTGTAGGACTTCAACCTTCACTCTGAATGAGTCAGGGGCCTCACCAAGGGTTGCGAGCCTGAGAGGGACAGGAGCTGATTTAGCTTCTAACAGGACCCGCCGTGCTGCCCAGCAGAGAGCAGACTATGAGGAGTGAGGAGTGGTCAGGCCCGATGTGCTTTGAAAGTGGAGCGCACTGGGTTAGCCGGTGGATTGGGTGTGGGAGGCGAGCAGGAGGAGCGGGATGACTCCGTAGGTTTGGGCTTGAACGACCCGAAGGATGGGAGTGTGGGTTCCTGCTGCCATTTGCTCAGTCTTTTTTTTTTTTTTTTTTTTAAGATTTTATTTATTTGAGAGAGAGAATGAGAGAGAGCGAGTACATGAGAGGGGGAGGGTCAGAGGGAGAAGCAGACTCCCTGCCGAGCAGGGAGCCCGATGCGGGACTCGATCCAGGGACTCCCCGGATCATGACCTGAGCCGAAGGCAGTCGCTTAACCAACTGAGACACCCAGGCGCCCCGCCATTTGCTCAGTCTTGGAGAGCCGGCTCTTGGGCATTGAGTGGCTCTGTGAAGGCAGGAAGCCTGAATCCTGGGGAGAGCTCTCAGTTCTGCCTGCTGGAGGCTAGGGAGCCTCCTCGGAGGAGGTATGGCCTCTGAGCTCCCCAAGGAAGAGAAGGGGCTCCCCGGGCAGGGAGGAGGGGGGCAGCTGAAATGGGAGAGGAGAGAGGGAGGGGCCTCCTAGGCGAGGCTGCACCCACGGGTCCCGCGGAGGCATGAGGAACCTCAGGAAGAAACATGTCATGTTCCTTGCAGACCCGACGTCATTGCCCCCCTCTGCTCATGTGCTCCCTGCAATTGGGCCACATGAGCTTTTCTGAGACTTTCTGGAACGGCTGCATTCTTTCTATCCCATGACCTTTTCACATGCTGTCCCTACTGCTTGGAGCTCTTCTCTCCGGTCTTGACGTGGCTGAACGAGTAGTTCCAGGGCACAGCTTGCCCTCACAGGAAGACCTTCTGTGAGGAAAGCCGTGTGCGCTTAGCGCCACATCGTGCCCGGAGCTTTGCAGTGCTTCCCCTGGGGATCCCCTACCTCTCACGCTGGGGTGGCAGCCCTTCCGGGGCAGGAACTTGCTTGTCTCACTTGCCACTGTGCGCCGAGCACCTGGAACCGTGCCGGGAACCGTGCCGGGAACAGAGTAGGCACTGAGAAAACCCCGGACAAGGGAGCGAGTGATGGTAGTGGCATGTCCCGTGTGGTGCTTCTTGCCCTCGGTCAGGCCCTAGGCGTGTGATGCGTGTCCTTTCCTTCAGCCATTCTAGGCACTGGGAATAGAGCAGTGAGGAGAATGGCTTGTTGGATTCTCTCAACAGCCCCGGGAGGTAGGTGCTGCCATTATCCTCCTCTTGCCGAGACCCAGAGAGGGGAAGCGCCTGCCAAGGATGCACAGCGGGTCAGACTCCGGAATCCACGCTCTTCTCGATGGCACCCGGGCACGGCTCCCCGCACGCACGCACTCGCTGGCCGCTTCTGTGCTTCCCATGCTTCCCGGCACTGGCGTCCGGGTCCCTCTTACCTGGTGCCTGAGGCCCGGGGGCACCCTTCGTCTCTTCGTTCTTTCCGTTCCCTCGAATGACGCTGGTGATAGCATCTGTCACGAGGGCACAAAAACGGCATCCCCCTCTGGGTGACGGATCCAGAGTGGGAGTCCGTCTTGGGCTCCCAGTGGAAGACCAGGCGCGGGGTTGGGGGTCTCACTGTGTTGGAGCGCCGTGTCCTGCAGCGGGCAGGGGGTGTCCCTGGCTTTCCGGCCCCCATCTCACAGGTGAGGAAAAGGAGGCCCAGGGGTGGAATCGGGCGCCCGGGTTCACACAGCCGGGAAACCGAGAAGCTGGAATGTGAATCATGGCCCAACTCAAGGGCCTGTATTCCTTCTGGGTTCCCTCCTCGTGGCCTCGGCCTCATCTCAGGAGCCTCCTGCGAACCTAGCATGTGCCCAGCCCTTGGCAGGGTGGTGCCAGGACCCAGCAGTGATTGAGACAGCTCCTTCCTCCCCTCACGGGGTGCCCAGCCCAGTGGGGGCCGGGGCATACGATTTTATTTTATTTTTTGCTTCAGTTTTATTTATTTTTTGAAAGAGAGAATTGAGGGGAGGAGCAGAGGGAGAGGGAGAAGCAGACTCCCCGCTGAACAGGGAGCCTGACATGGGGCTCAATCCCAGGACCCTGAGATCATGACTGGATTCAAAATCAGGAGTTGGACACTTAACTGATTGAGCCAACCGGGTGCCACATAAGTCACGGTTTTTTTATTTATTTATTTTTAAGATTGATTTATTTGAGAAACAGCACGCGCAGGGGGGAGGGGCAGAGGGAGAAGCAGACTCCCCACTGAGCAGGGAGCCCAACGTGGGGCTTGATCCCAGGACCCTGGGATCGTGACCTGAGCCAAAGCAGATGTGTAACTGACTGAGCCACCCAGGCGCCCCGGGACATTGGCTTTTAAACAAACAATCACACAGTGACTTCAGTACTATTGTGAAAAATCCTACTCGGGAAAAGTCCCGGTTGCTTAGTGAGAGCTTATAACTACGGCCCCCCTCCCCCCCCCCCCACACCCCCATCTCACCTAAAGCGGGGGGGACAGCGTCTCTAAGATGGTGGTGTTCAGTTGAAGGGGGTAGGAGGGCAGTGCTCCTAAGGCCCATGGAGCGCAGGGCGTGGAGAGCAGAAAGACATCCTGTCTGGCTGGGTCCCAGAACTACGCCCCCCTTTGGGTGCTGCCCTTACCTGAGCATCCGCCCTGGGGTGTCTGCCGTTCCTGCCCCGGCTGATTTCTCCAAGGACTCCTGGTGTGGGTCCCAGGCGAGCAGGCCAGGGGGAGGCGGCCCAAACCTCCCTGCTGCCCCGTCTCCGCCTCCCGCTCCCTGCCCAACAGGCTTGGGAAGTGGATCTGGAGGTGCGACTTTGCTGGGTTGCCTGGCTTTGTCGGTTGCCCGAGGCCACCTCCCTGCTCACAGACCTCACTCGCTTTCTTTCCTTCTTGCGGGGTTTCGGGATCACGAGGTTCTTCCCGGCCACCCCGCGTGCTGCAGAATGGCCCCCGCTTGAGAACCCACAGGGGAGCCCACGGGCCTTGGGGGGCGAGGGGGGGCCGGCTGTGGACACATGCAGGAGGGACTGCCTGGGTTCAGGAGATCTATGAGGAGCTGCGAGCAGGGCAGCCCTCCGGGGGAAGAGGCCCAGGAAACGGGCTTGGGGAGCGGGGAGAACGGGCCGAGCTGTGGAAACGAGGGACAGGCAGTGTAGAGCACGTTCTGACCCCAGTTCTCAGACTTCCAGTGGCCTCTCTCTGCATAGGCTGCAGGGCAGGGGGAAGGTGAAAGCAGAGCAGGGTGACTGCCCTGGTCCCATGGTGACCGTGGCTGCAATCGGGGCATGCTAGAGAGAAGTCGCCAAATTCAGGAAACAGGTGAGAATATGTAGTCGGCCAGACTCAGCAGGGGAGAGGGCACACCGGGCAGGAGGGACAGTGCATGCACAGGGAAGAGAGGGCTGCTTGTGTTCATTGCCTAGAGGGACACGGCTGTGTCCTGGAAAGAGGAAGGGGCTCGATTTTGAAGCTGGGGCCCAGCCATGTAGGACACTGCAGCTGGGTCTCCTGGGCACTGGGGAGCCATGGCAAGTTCTGAGCAGGAGAACGGGGTTAGGTGTGTGCGTGAACAGGATCCCTCTGTGCTGCAGGTGAAATTGGAGAGGGCGAGGCAGGCCAGGAGGTGGGAGGGATGTTCGGGGGTCCCCCACCCCAAGTCCCAGTGGGTGCCAGAGCTGAGAGGCCGGAGACTCTGAGTTGAAGTCCCAGTCTGTCTCTGAGCACAGACAGTTACTCTTCCCTCAGGGGCCACATTTCCCCCACATCGAGTGAGGGGACAAGCCTGGCCCAGGGTGTACGACTGCTGGCTGCAGGCGGTGACCCAAGTCTCCTGCTCTCGCGGTGAAGGAATGCACACCGAGGCTCACAGAAGCCCAGAGGGGTTAGGTCAGCCAGCCCCTGACCATGACACAGCACCGGAGCCGGGACCCTGAACCCTCGGCCTCCCCGGCCCCACTGGTAGCCCCCATCTGGAGTGGGAGAGGCCTCTGACCCTGCACGCTCATTCCTGCTCCGTCCTGTCCCTGGCCCAGTGTCCTGGCTCTCCCCCCGCCCCTCACACATGTGCTCTCCGCTCTCCCCAGGTCCCTCTGCGTCCCTGCCCTGCCTTCCCCTTTCCTCCATCCTCCTCTTCCTCGCTGGCTCGTGACTTCAGCCCGACCGTGTCCTCTTAGTCTCCCCTGGGAATCTTCGGCCCTCTCTTCCTCCCTCTCTGATTCTGTTTCCACTTCTCCACGTTAAGTGTCTTGTTTTCTCCTTCACTGTCACTCCCTCTGCGTCTCCGACTCTCTTCCTCCCCGGTTCTCCCGTAGATCACGTTCGTGGTATCTACTCTCGGCTCCAAAGACAGGCATGAATGCGTCAGTCCCTGGGCTCCAGGAATCCAGCCCAGCAGGCGCACAGTCGCCTGTTAGCCACGCCCAGGGGCCTCGGGGCCGACCCCACTGCCAAGGGGCAGGGAGGGCAAGCTGTAGGCCTTGGCGTGGCCGGTCCTAGCGATCACTGAGGCCCGGCCACTGCACCACACCTCATTCGCTCCTTGAGACTTTAGGGCCGCCTCAAGAGGTAGTCTTGCTCACAGAGAAGTGACCCCAGTGGCCCGCTGTTACTCCACGAGTGGTGGGGCTGGGATTTGAACCCAGGCTGTCTGGCCCCCAGAGGCGGAAGGGTTCAGAACCCAGGCCAGAGAGGTGGAGAAGCCCAGATTCTGCCCCTGACATAATCTTGTCACTGCGGGTCAGTGAATCACTCCCTTAGCCTCCGTGGACTCCCAAGTGGTGGCAAATGAATGCCCGCCTCACGGGGCCTGGGAGACCTGAGGGGTGGGCCCTGAGCCTCCAGCAGGGGCACACCTGGAAGGCTGCCTGGAGCAGGAGGTGGGCCCGGCAGAAACAGACCCACACCAAGCCAAGGTGACACCCCCCCCCCCTCCAAATCTGGCCCACAGGAATCCTCGTGGCCCACTACCTCCAGAGCATCACGCCGTGTCTGGCCCTGGGTGGGGAGCTTGTCTACCACCGGCGGCCTGGGGAGGAAGGCACTGTCATGTCTCTAGCTGGGAAGTACACATGTGAGCCCGGGGCCTGGGGGTAGGGTAGGGGGCGGGGTCCAGGGTCCTGGCCCCCTTGGTAATCTGCACCCCACCCCCACCGCGCTCTCTTACAGTGAACAACTGGTTGGCGACAGTAACGTTGGGCCAGGCAGGCATGCATGCCACCTACTATCACAAAGCCAGCGACCAGGTGACCTGGGCCGGGGACCTGCTGCGAGGGCGGGCTTTGCGGGCCTGGGGGACCAGGGTCTGGTGTGCCCAGGAGCCCGGCCTGGGAAGCTGACCCTTGCGCATCGCCCCGGCCCCTCCAGCTGCAGGTGGGTGTGGAGTTCGAGGCCAGCACGAGGATGCAGGACACCAGCGTCTCCTTCGGGTACCAGCTGGACCTGCCCAAGGCCAACCTCCTCTTCAAAGGTACAAGCGTGTTTCCCTGCTTGGAAACAAGTAGGCATCAGGTGACTCGGCCCTGAGTGGGTGTGTAGGCCAAAGCAGACGGTGGAGGTTGGGGGTGTGACAGACCCATCCCTAGAGAGTGAAGACCTGGAGTGGTCAGGATGGGGGGGGGGTTGTGGAATTGGTGTGGCCAAGGGCTTCCAGAGGGGAGGGGTCATCAAGCAGGGGTTGGGGAGGGAGAGGACAACTAAGCCAGTTGCTCCGAGGACTGGAGAACTTGGGGTTCGGGAAGAGGTTTCCAGGTGTGGTCAGAGGTCTAGAAGCCGGCAGTTTGGCTGGTGGCTATCTGAGGTGGCCTGGAGTGTGACTCCACGGGGACGGGGTCGGAAGTTGGCTCGCAACACAGCTGTTTCCCTGCAGGCTCCGTGGACAGCAACTGGATCGTGGGCGCCACACTGGAGAAGAAGCTCCCACCTCTGCCCCTGACATTGGCCCTTGGGGCCTTCCTGAATCACCGAAAGAACAAGTTCCAGTGCGGCTTTGGCCTCACCATTGGCTGAGCCCCTCCTGGCCCCCGCCTTCCACCCTTCCTCCTCCAGATCCCCCCTCCCCCTCCCCCTGCCACGGAGGGGAGACCTGAGCCCTCCTCCCCCTCCCTTCCCTCCCTCCTTGGGGGTCAGGGGGGCAGTGGAAAGGAGGGGACCCATCACCCGAGCAGCTGAGGGGGGGATTCTGGAACCACGGGCGCTTCAGGATTCAGAGCACTAGGGGCAGGGTGCCTAGTGGGCCTGGAGTCCCGGGAGGAATTCCAGAATCGAGGGGCACGCCAGATTCTGAGCACCAGGGGCAGAGGCGGCCAGACAACCTCAGGGAGGTGTTGGGGTATCCGAGTCCCCCCAAAGGGCCCTGGGCCCGGCCCTGAGGGGGCAGGAAGAAGAGGAGCTTCCCCATCCCCAGTCAGTCTGCCCCCGCCCACTTTCCCACCCATCCCTCAGTATAAATCATGTTTATAAGTTATGGAAGAACCAGGACATTTTACAGAAAAAAAAAAAAAAACCGACAAAAAATATACGTGAACAAAAGTGAACTGGGCGGTGTCTCTTGGTCCGTGTGTCGCCCCTTTTGCCCAGTGCATCCAGACGGACCTCACGGGGGCCAGCAGGGGGCGCTGCAGGGCGGAGCCGGGAAGGCTGACCTACTGCCCGGGAGTCCGGCCTGGCCTGAGATCACACATCCTCCCTGCGACTTGTGTGACTTCTGCTGGGACATCACAGGCTCTCCCTCACCAGCAGGGCTGGGTCTTTCGGTCACACCCCAGCTTGGCCTGACCCGGCCTGAGAGGCTGCCAGAAGATTCCCCCTGCTGACTGCAGCAGCAGGGGTGATGTGTCTGTGCAGGGATTGGGGCACAAGCTGGGACTTCAGGTTCCGAAAGGGGCAGGGGACATCTTAGGACTTCGGGACAGGAAGGCCAGAGCCTTCAGAAGGCTCGCAGGGATTCCAGCACCTGGAAAGACTTCAGAGTCAACTCTGCCTGAGCGGGCAAAGGGCTTCTGGACTTCTGGGCCTCAGGGGAGGGGCTGGAGGCCGACTCCGGTCTGGCCACAGACGGCTCCTTGGCTCACATAGGCGGGGAGGAGGTCGAGGTGTGGGTTTTGCCCACCTGGGGTTCCAGTACCCTCCCAACACCCCTGACCTCTCCAGACAGGAGCTGAAACCTTGTCTGGCGGGAACACACACAGTTTGGGGAGGGAGGCCGTTGAGCAGAGAGGACCCCCCATTACCTGGAGAAGCCACCCCACTCCTTCCTTACCGGCGCCTTCGGACGCCAAAGTCAAGAGGCCTGGACCTGGCTAGCCCTGGGGTCGCCTTCCTGGGAGGAGGCCCAGCCCGCCTTTCCCGTGTGGCCTCCCCCACCTCAGTGGAACCTGGGCTTCTCTGTGGGACAGCGGGGACTTGCGAGCTGGCTGCTCGGAAGGTGCTGGTGCTCGCTGGGGCCAATCCGAGCAGGTCGTGCCAGGGACGGCGCTCGGGACTTCGTACACAGCAGCTTGCATCACCGAACGGTGGTGTAAGTGCGACCGTTTTCCTGGTCCTGTGGGCCAAGAAGTAAGCATGTTCAGATAGGCTAGATCATTTGTCCAAGGTCATGGAGCTGGCAGAGCCCCCATTTGGACGCAGACCCTTTGTTCCCGAGTCCGCAGTCCTAACGGGGCCCAGGACTGCTTCAAGCCCCGTGAAGGCTGGGACTTAAACAATGTCCCCGTTAGGGAGAAGGGCTGGATCTGCATCTGCAAACAGGGAGGGGGGCTCAGGTCACAGCCAAAGAGGGAGCGAGGACTAAAACCCAGGTTTACACAGTCCGCACCCCTCCCACCCAGTCTCTGTCTTGGCCTCCGGTGCCCTTCTCCCTAAGTCTCAGGAGTCTGGGCCCCCAGCCACCTCCCCTCAGAACCGGGGAATCCAAGCCTCCAGCCCTCTCTTCTCCTCTGACCCAGGATTCCGGCCCCCAGTCCCCTCCCCAGACTTTATTCATTCATCCACAGGAAAAGAGAAAGGCGGGGAATGGGCGCTGGGGAGCAGTGGCAGCTCCTTCCCCTGGCGTGCCTAGCCCCCCAGAACAGAGGAAGGTGCCTGAGTTACTGGGTAAAAATGTCACCTCCCTTCGTGGGGGCAGGGGGGGGCATCACAGGGCCTCCAACCCCCACCTCCTTCCCCCTGCCTGCTGTGTGAAGGGGAAGGGGACAGCCCACCTCGTGACTGGGGGCTGGCCCAGCTCGCCGCGGCCCGGCAGGAGTGGGCGGGGCAGGGGGAACATTATAATTGGACGAGTCTGGGATCCCGGAGTCCTACTCAGCCCAAGCGGAGACCGAGGAGGAGGGTCCCCAGGAGCCGGTGAGAAACAGAGTTGAGGGCACAGAAGACCAGCTCCGGGCTTCTGTGAGGGACGGGCTGGGGCGAGGTGACTGTCATACGCCAGGGTCAGGACAGAAGCAGGAGCTGGGGATGAGGACGGAAGCCGGGGTCGGACCTAGGGGAGGAGTGGGCCGCAGGGGCATCCCGTCTTGGCTGGAAGGAAGGTGGGATGGGGGAGCAGCTGGACCTGTCGGAAGAACCAGATGAGCCCCTATCAAGAGCCCACGAATGGTCACTGTTATTTATTGAACACCTCCTGGGTGCCCCCTCGGATCTCCATTAGTTTGGAGGCGCAGGGGTGGCGGCCAGGTCGCTAGAGCGCTCCTCTTTCGGGGAGGGCTTTTAAATGAGAATTAAGTTAGCTAATAGGTGGAAGATGACGTTTAGATGTGAAGCTGGGGCTTAGAACGTGAAGGGAGAACGGGGAATGTGAGGTCGGAATTTATAAGCCACAGTTGGGGCTCGCATGGAACTCGGGGCAGGGGAAGTGGAATTTGAACCCTCGAAAAGGGGGATGGAATTTGGGCGGCGGAGGCCGACCCGGTGATGGGGAGATAGGAGGAGACAATGAAGGAGTTAGATAAACAATGGAGGCACCGCTTGGTGAAATGTTTGTGATTGGATTCGGCTGATGCGGATGATGGGGCGCGGGCAAGACTTGGAAGGCCCGGAACGGGTGGGGCGGGGCTGGGGGTGGGAGGAGTGCCCACTGGGGGCTGATTGACATTTCTCACTCAACCTGACCGATCGCAGGTCGCAAGATGAAGGTTCTGTGGGCTGCGCTGGTGGTCGCGCTCCTGGCAGGTATGTGGGCGGGGCTTGCTCAGGTTCCCTGTCCCTTCCCCTCCCGTCCTCACCTGGCCTCCCCTGCCCCCCTTTCATCCCTGGGTCCCTCCTTCTGCTGGTCTGTCTCCCCCTTGAGGGGGGTGCCCAGGTGTGAGGCCTCACATCCACGGGCTCTGAGCGGCTGTTTTAGTCTCTCTGGGCCTCAGTTTCCCCACCCTTAAAACGAGAGTTGGAAGAGTTCCTAACGCATAGTTGTCAGGCAGGCAGACAGCACTAGATTAGTGTCCGCTGTGACTAGTTCTGTTCACCACCACAGCGTGGCCCTGCATGGAGCAGACACAGACACTCAGTATATGCCTGTCAGGTGACAACCCCCCCCCCCCCCCCCCCCGCCGCCAGTGCTCTAAAGAAGCGCAAGAGCATTTACGGAGCACCTGCTGCGAACCAGGTACTGTGTGCCTGGTGGGGTGACTGCCGTGAACTTGCTCTGTGCAGGATGCTGGGCCGATGTGGAGCCGGAGTCGCCGCTCCAGGGGAAGCCGGAGCCCGAGCTGGAGCCCGAGCTGGAGCCCGAGCTGGAGCAGGAGGTGGAGGCCGAGGCCGGGTGGCAGGCTGGCCAGCCCTGGGAGCTGGCGCTGGCCCGCTTCTGGGATTACCTGCGCTGGGTGCAGACGCTGTCTGACCAGGTGCAGGAGGACATGCTCAGCAACCAGGTCACCCAGGAACTGACGTGAGTGCCCCTGCCACTCCCCGGCGGGCAGTGCCTTCTGGACCCCCGACCTCTGCCGGTGGCCCTGTCACCAACTCTTCGGCATCTCTGGTCATGTCTTGCTTCCTCTTGCCATGGCGAGCTCCTGGCTTGCTGGACCGCTCTCTTTCTCCGCTCTTCCTGCCTCTGGCCGCCGCCCGTCCATCAGGCTAGCTCAGTCCCTCGCACCCTTCCCTTGCATCTCTGCTTCTGCCCGTCCCTGTCCCCACCTTGCCCCCCCCACCCCCAGGGTTTTTCGCCCCGCTTCTCTCTCCCGGCGTGCGGCGCGCACACACGCTCCCGCCCCCCTCTCTCGGCCCCCAGGACGCTGATGGAGGAGACCATGAAGGAGATCAAGGCCTACAGGGCGGAGCTGGAGGAGCAGCTGGGCCCCATGGCCTCGGAGACGCAGGCCCGCGTGGCCAAGGAGCTGCAGGCGGCGCAGGCCCGGCTGCGCTCGGACATGGAGGACGTGCGCGCCCGCCTGACGCAGTACCGCAGCGAGGTGCAGGCCATGCTGGGCCAGAGCACCGAGGAGCTGCGGGCGCGCTTCGCCTCGCACATGCGCAAGCTGCGCAAGCGGGTGCTGCGGGACGCCGAGGACCTGCAGAAGCGCCTGGCCGTGTACCGGGCCGGGGTGCGCGAGGGCGCCGAGCGCAGCGTCAGCTCCATCCGCGAGCGCCTCTGGCCGCTGCTGGAGCAGGCGCGCACGCGCCACGCCAACCTGGCCCCGCAGCCGCTGCGCGAGCGCGTCGACGCCCTGGGCCAGCAGCTGCGCGGGCAGCTGGAGGAGGTGGGCAGCCGCGCGCGCAGCCACCTGGACGAGGTGCGCGCGCAGATGGAGGAGGTGCAGGCCAAGATGGAGGAGCAGGCCAACCAGATGCGCCAGCAGGCCGAGGCCTTCCAGGCCCGCCTCAAGAGCTGGTTCGAGCCCCTGGTGGAAGACATGCAGCGCCAGTGGGCCGGGCTGGTGGAGAAGGTGCAGGCGGCCGTGGGCGCCAGCCCCACCACCGCACCCGTGGAGACCAAATGAGTGCCCGGCGCGCGCCGCCTGGTGGGCCCCGCCCCTGCCCGTGCCCCCTGCCTCCCCCCACCCCAGCCTCCAGGAGGCGCTGTCCCGGCCCCAACCTGGAGGGCCCTAGCTTAATAAAGATTCACCAAGCTCCACAGCAGCCGCTGGGCCTCCGTGTGTGATTTCTCCCGGCTCGTGCCTCGGTTTCTCTCTCCTTCCCCACACTGGCCACACAGCTCTGTCCTGTCCTCTCTGCTTGTGCGTCTCTTTGTCTTTTCTGATCTCAGTGTTCGCTTCCTTCTGTCCCTTTCAGAGTCTCCCTTTTTGCTCTGTCTCCGCTCAGCAGTGCTCACTCTCCTCTACCCTCCTGTCCCTTCTGGTTTGGGATCAGATCCACCCCTGGGGTAAATCCTGTGGTCACCCCTGACTACTGGGGTCAGGGGTCGGGAGTGAGGGTGGGAAGCAGCCTCTCAGAGCCTGGGCTTGCTCAGCGGCGGGATACCTGCTCGGTGGAGTCAGGACTCTGAAGCCCCGACACCCCTGCCGTTAGGATGAATCCCTTATTGTTGCTCTCCTGTCTTATCTGATTCTGCCTCCTGGCCTGCTCTTGGCAGAGAGGCTTCAGTTTTTAGCTTCCTGCTTTCCCCCACCTCTATCTTTTATCTCTTTCTCCTCCAGTTTCTTGCCCCACCTCCGCGGCTTCGCCTGTTTCTTGTTTCCCTTCTTGCCCCAGCTGGGTTTGTCCTCTCCACCTGTTCGGTCGTCTCTTGCGCCCTCTCTGCCTTTGGCGTTCCCTCTGGGTTAACAGGTGTCTTCATCGGAGCCGTGCTTCCCGGCCCCCTGCCCTCATCCTCCTTCCCTGTGTCCTCCAGCTGGGCTGCTGACCTCTTGTCTAGCCCAACAAGCCTACTGGGTTCTGGATCCTGGCTGGAGAGAAGGCAGCTGCCCACCCCCCACCCCACCCCACCCCCGAGGCCTGGGGTCCACGGCTGGGAGCCAGTTGGTTGACACTCGGGAGCAGTGAGGACTGGAGCCTGGAGCTGCCCCCTGGCATTCTCTCCCACCCCCTCAGTTCTCAGAGGAGGGAGCAGGGTTCCCAGCCCAGGGGACAGGCCAGGGCTTGAACCTGTAACTCCCAGGCCCAGCCTGCGCTCTCCCGTGTGGTTCCTACGGGGCTGGCTGCCCTGAGTGCCCTTGCGGAGGCAGGCACCCCTCCCCACCCCCAGATGACTCAACCCCCCAGATGACTCCTCCTCACCCAGGCTGGGTGCCCTTGCGGAGGCTGGGTGCCCTTGCGGAGGCAGGCACCCCTCCCCCACCCCAGATGACTCCTCCTCACCCAGCCTGGGTGAGGAGGAGAAGGGTCAGTGGGCTCGGAGGCAGGGGGCCTAGTCCCAGCCAAGCGTGCTAGTGATTCACTGTGTGCCCCGGAGCTGGGGCCAAGCCCTCTGAGCCACAGATGTCAATAGCCGGGGCTGGCCTCAGCCACATCTCCCCCTTGAAGAGCTGAATCTTGAATTCTCCTGGATGAAGATAGCAGTCAGGTCTAGAGATGGCACAAGGGCTGCAGAAGGAGTTTGGGGGAACAGAGGGAGTGCTGTGGGGCGGAGGATGACAAGCCCGCAGAGATTCAGAGAGACAGCCTGGAGTCCGGAAAGTGGAGGGACAAAGAACTGACACCCCCCCTCCGCCCAGCGCCTTAGCCCCTGGCTGAGCCATTGGTTGTGTTTGGCTGTGCCTCAGTTTCCCCATCTGTAAATGGAAACCCTGTAGCTGGAATAAGGAGGAGACTGGAAAAGCAAAGTTGTTATTCTATTCCGGTGGGGTGAGGAAGGAAGGAGAGCAGAACTTTGGGTGGATGTCTGGGGAATGCTAGGCTCGCAGGGGAAGCAGATGTCTGGGAAGGCAGCTGGGGGGCTGACAGGGACTAGATGCACTGAGCTGGCCAAGAGGTTGTCGCAATCCTGCCAGGGTCATGTCTGTGCGTCTCTTTCACAACGGTCCCCCCCACCACCCCCAGGCTGACACGTGGTTGTGGGGGCACAAGGCCAGCCAACCTCAAGTCTGAGGCCAGGGCCGCCCTCCCTACAGCTGCCAGGGATCACTGGCGGTCAAAGGCAGCCAGAAGAAGAGGGGAACCATTGGACTCCAGCCCTGAGGGACGGATGTGGTGGGAGGAGAGACGGGGGGAGGGGGGACCGCCTAGTGCCAGGAAGGGCCCAAAGGGGTAAGGACAAATGGAGTGTTTACCAGGGGGCCCGGAAGCTTCCAGAGTGGGAAAGCAGAGGGCAAAGAGGGGCCTGGTGGAATGGATGGAGGCGCACACACTGGGATCTTTGCAGCTGAGCTTTTGCAGTTCAGACAGGCTGAAAGGACCTCTTCCCCAAAGAGAGATCGGGCTGTGGAATAAAGACCCCAGAGCACAACCATGGAGGCCTGGGATGCTCCCAGATGCAGGGAGGTGGGGGGGCTTGAGGGCTGGTCTGAAAGTGAGACTGGAGGTGGCAAGGGACTGGGAATGTGGGGGCAGATGGGGTGACCCTAGAGTCTTGGAGGAAGAGTTGCTTGCTTGTGCTGAAGAGGCTTGCTAAGAAGGGAAGAGGGGGTGGAAGAGGAGGCCTGAGGAGTTGCAGTGAATTGAGTTACAGAGTGACTAAGTGACTGAGAGACACCCCCCCGCCCCCACTCCCCAGGCCGGGAGAAGGGTGTTCAGCAGGAGAGACCCCCTAGAGAAGATGGCCACGGCGAGAGATTAAAGGCAGTGCCCCCATGTGGGGAAGGGACTATGGCACGCTGAGATCCACCAAGTCAGGGAGATTTGGAGGTGCAGGTGTTGAACAGCAAGAGGCTTTAGGCCTAAGGGATGTGCGTAGGCCCACCTGACCCACGCACCAGCCAGGCGGGGAAGAGGAAAAGGTGGGTGGGCACAGGGCGAAGGCCATCTGCCTGAGGCTTAAGGGGAGGGATTAATTTGCCCCGCCCCCTCCCCAGCCCGATAAAGGCCTGGGCCGGGCCAGGACCTCCCACCGTGCTGTCCCGCGACTGATCCAGGTTGGTGCTCAATGCCGGGGAGGGATGCCCCTCCAAGAGCACTAGAAAGGGGGTTTGGAAGGAACTCCGGGTAGGAAGGAGGGGTGTCACTGATCACTCCCACCCCTGCTTCTGCTTCCAGAGTGCCCCTCCGGCCCCCAGCCATGAGGCTCTTCCTGTCGCTCCCAGTTTTGGTGGTGGTTCTGGCGATGGTTTTGGAAGGTAAAAGTGGGATAGGAGAATCTGGGAGTTTGAGACTCGGAAGCTTGAAGCTGGCCACGGGTCTGGGGTCCGAGCTTGGAGGACCCTTGAGAGCTCTGGGGCCCCTTCTGTGCCCTGGTTTTCCTATCTCTCACCGATCACCCCACCCCCAATCCCGCAAGGTGGGTGAGGGCTCTCTAAGGGGGCGGTCCCGCGGGTGGCTAATCTGCCGTGGGAAGCCCTAGCAACCGATGATGTATTGACTCGCCCCTCCAGGATTGGCTGTCCTGCTTTTGCAGCCTGGAAAGGGGAGGGGTGAAGCAGTGCTGAGAGTAAGCTAATTCCCAGCAGCTTGAGCTCCATCTGGTCGTTTTAGTACCCTCTCCCCGCACCCCGCCTCCGAGTCTAACACCGTGACCTCCAAGAATCACTTTCAAGGATCTCCTTTCCCACCCCTGGAATCTCATCCTAAGGGCTCCCAATACTGAAATTTTTGTACCGCTGCCCATCTTCTGGGCAGGCCCAGCCCCCACCCAGGCGGCCCCAGAAATCTCCAGCACTTTGGGGCGCATCCCGGAAAAACTGAAGGAGTTCGGTAACACCCTGGAGGACAAGGCCCGGGCAGCCGTTGAAAGCATCAAGCAGAGCGACATTCCTGCGAAGACCCGGTTAGGAACCTTCCCAGGGCTTGGGAGGGCTGGGGTACATCACTAACAGATTGGGGAAACTGAGGCCTGGAGAGGCGGACAGCTTCCCTGTGGTCACAGCTGGATCACAGGGTGCTTAGATGTGGGGGACAGGTTCCTGACTGCCATCTAGGCCACGCTGTAGAAATGGTCCTGCGTGGTGGTGAAAGACCAAGCTTGGGAGTCAGTCAGGCCTGGGTCCACAGGCCAGTGAAGACTCACTACTCTTTGTGTGATCTCGGGGGTAGATCTGGACCAGCCTTTTTCCTCGCCTGTAAAAGGGGTAGTTCTGAGGAGAAGCAAACTAGGGGATTTGCATAGTGCCTGGCACATTGTAAATGCTCGATATGCTCTTTAACCAACATCAACTCCATTTGGCCACTTAGAAAATCATTCATTCATGAACAAATATTTATTGGGCATCGGCTACGTGTCCGGGCTGTTCCAATGTGGGGAATAATAGTGATGAAGATAAAGTCCCAGCCCGCAGGGAGCAGATTGTAAACCAGTGAATGTCCGGGAGATTAGCCCAGACAGGGCTAAGCACTAAGAAGACAACAAACAGGGTGGGTGTAAACAACCAGTGTGGGGCTTGAACTCACGACCCCAAGATCAAGAGTCGTGTACTCTACCGACTGAGCTAGCCAGGCACCCCTTTTCATATCTCCATTTAAAGTGTTACTGCTTCGGGGCGCCTGGGTGGCTCAGGAGGTTAAGCTTCAGACTCTTGATCTCCCCTCAGGTCTTGATCTCGGGGTTGTGAGTTCGAGCCCCCATGAGGCCTGGTTGTCTTGCTAAAAAAAAAAAAATTTGAGATCTGAGTGATTAGGAAAATCCAACCAGGCCTAGAAACATGGAAGAATGTTCCCTGTGGAGGGTGAGTGCGAAAGCCCTGAGCCAGGAAGATATGTACATAATCCAGGCCAGAGGGACAGCCTAGGCAAAGACAAGGAGGCTGAAGAGTGCCCTTGGATAAGTAGGAGACAGCTAGGCCAGAGCAGGCTTACTAGCTAGAGATAGCAAGCCTTCAAAGTTGGGCCCGGCTGGAGCATTCTGACTTCAAAGAGCTCTGGTCCCTCTGGGAAACCCAGCCCAGGGCTCCTCCCAATCCCATAGATACCAGAGCCATGCTGTTTCCTGGGGGGAAGGGAAAGGGGAAGATGAGGGAGGCAGGTAGAGGGTAGGACCTGGGCCCCCTGAGGGGAGACAAACACAGTGACTCCCCCATCTCTCCCTGCAGGAA